AAATGTCGAAAACCGTTTTCCCAACGTTTCTGTTATAACACTACGGTCTATTAGGGCAAATGAGTATGGTAAAACCGGTCACTCAACGATTTGTACTTTTAGGCACTTCATGATCATTTTGAAGCGCAATTTTTTAGGGTTTCAATATTTACACCATATCACAGACACTGATAACACGCAGGGTCATGCATCTCAGATTTTTAAAACTGGAAACATTGTTAAAAAATGCCTTTAACGCCGCGCTGGTTGAACCAATTTGGTCGGAGCTAATTGAGTCCGAATATACTGCGTAGGATAATCTACTGTGCAGTTTCTTGGTTGCATCATTATTTGGCCCAGTTAATGCAACCCTACGTGTGAGGGTCATAGTAAGGGTAAACTACCCTTTTGGAAGATAACGATCAATGCCTCGTGTAGATAGATTTTTGTTTTTTTAATTAAAAAAATTATATAAATGTTGTTATTTTACACATTTTAAAAATTTATCTGAACCATGTTTCGCATTGCCTGTTAACATGATTATTTAGAAAATGGAAACGGAAATAAATATTTGAATTTAGGCATGTCTGAATTCATGGACTGAATAAACTAATATAAATGTTACTTTTATTTTAGCATATGAATACATTCTATGTTAACCTGATTATTTAGAAAATGGGAAATAAATCTTAAAGTTTTAAATCCCCATAGGAAGCATTCTAATTAACGTCTTTCCTAACATCTGATAATTGTGTAATCATTTTGAAATGTTACATTCGATTTATAATGCAGTTAGGTCAACAGTGTTCCGTTGTCGTTTTCAGTTAATGAATATTCATACAGTCGTATGACATTGTTTCGTGTCAACTATCGAATCTATACACACTTTTTACACGCTTATCATGCTCATATCAAAATGGAAATATATAAATCAAATCGAATAAATCAAATCAAATCATTTGGGGAAAATGCTTATGGATAATGTGGTCAGGGTCAGGGTTTATAGATTTTTGAAAAAGAAAATGTCTTTGTCTTGTTCCCCCACTTAGAAATTAGACAGATTACAGATTAAGATTTGAGGAAACTTATTACATTTTTAAAAGATAAACTAGGAACTTTGAAAATGACTTTTACATGTGTATAATTATATAACATTATATAGGCCTTCCCAGCTGACATAAATGGATAGCTTTGACGTATTACGATTTTATTCATGCTCAATTTTCGGATCAGCGAAATAGTAAGAAATTCCATAAAATGAGTTGTGTCTACACTTCTTATGACAGCATAAAGTTATGATGGCGAAATCTAATTCACAACTTATATCCTGGTTGGCCTCCTTCTATGCTTAGAATAGGGATGGACATGGCAACTACTTATCTTAAATCTCCGATTTGAACAAGGCAAGATCTAAATCCCGACAAGGAGGAAAAGAGGAAACTTTAATATCAGATGTGAAGGGGGCAAAAACCCAGCTCCCATTAAAAGAACGAGGGAGAAAGTAAGAGGTTAATTAAACCCCGCTTATTATGAATATCCGACGTAAAGGGGAGGGGGCTTCATACAGAACAAATAATTCGGGGAAGAAAAAATGAGGGGAATGTATATATGTATCATTTGCTTGTCTAAGATGTCTTAAATATCTCATATGAAAGGGGCATGATCTAGATATGCTCAGGAGAACCAAAGGAATGTGTATATCATCTGCCCAAGTTAACTTTCCAATGTGAATGGGGCAGGCTGGAGATCGCGTGAGGACGGGCAGTCCCTTCTGAAGGGGAATATAAACCCCGTCCTACATGCATTTCAACATCAATATCCGAAGTCGGGGTTTAAGGATCTTCGGATGTACATGTATAACCTTGGACGGCTTAGGACTTCTGTACGCTTTAAGAGCCGTTGCTTCTGTAAAATGTTGACTGATTATAGCAGCGTATATGCCCGCATTTCGCACTTTTTAAGGTCTGCAAATATTCTTCGAGGGTTAACACGACCTTTGTAAACGACCGATGAATATCAGTCTGATTAGTTAATTCTTTAGTTTCCAAGGAATTACGTTTTTGGTTGTTGTATCTTCAAAGTATTGAGGACCAGATACAGAGGCGTGTGTAAAGAATTTGATATCCAGGGAAAATACCATCTGTCCATAGAAGTATTTGTTTCCCTCCAAAATCTTATAACTTAGACGTTGATAGTATTAATGACGATATATGTTGCGATTCCCTACAATGATCATGAAGGCCTAACCTTTTCAAGACAGACGAAATTTTTATGAAAAACCGTGCAGTTGGGCAACTCCGTGCAACGTGTTCCGTTTGTTCGTTTCTTTTATCCATTTATTTCATCCAAAAGTGAAATGATCATTTATTTATTATTCTTTTTAAGATCACTACCATCAGTCAATGGTAATTTCAAAAGAAATGTTCATTTTGCAATAAAGGATAGTATGCTTTCTGTAGAAGGGTTTGTGAAAATAAATATATTACTAATCCTATATTTATGTAACTGCTATAAGTAACGTATTTCCCACATACTAGATCTTTTTCCTTGAACGAAGGGTCAGAATTCCTTTGTTTTACATAATACAATATTATTTTCCCAAATGCATACTTCGTTGCTGGGTATTATACTGTTTGGAGTTTTATGGGCACAAATTTATATTTGTACCAAAAACAAAGTTTGGACACTTTTAAGGACTTTGGCAGAAATGAAAAGATACCGCTTTGTGACATCGCGAAGATTCAGTCTTCCTCTGCTTGAAGCACATCCCCTGTTCTAAACCTCGCTATCATCCCATAAAGTAGCTTCAGATTGGTGAGACAGCGATGATGGTTGCTCGAAGGACCGTGACTAGAAAAACACTGTCTAGCCTAGTATGACATCAAGCGCAAAGGCTCATGGGAAGGTGCACTCAGTTTGGGTCTCTTTAATAGTTTGTATAAGCTATAAGCTACAAGCGTCTTCTTGGAGATATCGTGTGTGAATTGCGTTACTCGCCAGAGGTTTCGTTCTTAACCATAGACCGTTAACAGAATTGAAGAAGTCGAGGTTTTATTTAATAAAAAATAAATCCAAAAATTACATTGAAGTTGATCGTTCATTTTAGATATCAAGATGGCATAATTCGTATATTGCACAAACTGGTATATATTTATACCGTGCTAGTTGCTTTTGCTCATAGTACTATTTATTAAAAAATGACCAGATTTGTTGATAAGAGAAAAGGCACCACACTCAGTTAATTCCCTATGAGAGTGAAATTGATTAAGTTCACTTTTCTATCGTACATATTTCACATTATTATTTCTCTTTATTACATATCTATCATTTTTTTAAATTATGCCTTCTCTTGTTTAATGTGTGAGACGGACTTGTTATGTAGAATGTGCAACAATAAATCAACAAAATTATAAATCTTTCCTGTATGATCGCATAAATGCACTCAAACGTGCGTTAATGTGTGGGTGAGTGTGTGTCAGTGTGGTGAAAATGGTTTGTACATGTGATCGAGGGAATATTATTGGAGGTTATGCTGGACATGTTAATCATTGTGGTTGTTCTCGTAATGAGTATCATCGGCTGAATTAGCATTATTATCATCATCATCGTCATCATCATCATCATCATCAATATCATCATCACTCATCATTATTATTAATTAAATCGAATGTCATCAAACTTTACCACCATCGTCATCGACAGAACCATAATTGATATCACTGTCTTTTCATCAACACCTTCAGCATTAATAGTCATACTATTTGCAGCACCACTGCAGTGTGCATCATCATAATCATTTTCCTCCTCGTCATCATCATCATCAATATCATTATCACCAACTTCATCATCAAAAACTTCTTTCTCGTCATCGACGTGGTCTTCACTGATTTCGAGGCAACAATATACAATCAATCAGCGTAAATCATCCACACGCACGCACACACAGTCACCCACAGACGCATTTAGCTTGAACACATAAAGCTACGCACACTTAACAACAGAGTCTACACACTCAAATAGTATAGGTTTCACCTTTTTTAATCGAATCAAAGCACCTTCGTTTAAATTCCTTCTGAAAGTTACTAGTTATCAGTTCTTTATACGGCCCAGATATCGCACCTATCAACTCGATACAAGGATTCTTGCATTGTCTTAATAACCATGTACTTGTATTTTTTTCCTGGTGTGAAGATATAAATAATCAGTTTTTTGTATATATACCTTTCTCCACGAACCAGTTTGAAAATATAAGATGACAGAGACAAATTAAGGGAAGAATGACTGTCACAGAAAATGGGCGTCTAGAGAGAGAGAGAGAGAGAGAGAGAGAGAGAGAGAGAGAGAGAGAAAGTGGGTTTGGGGGAGCGGGGGGGGGGGGCGGGAAGAAAGAAGAGAGAGAAAATTGGGTTGGTGTCTTGGAGATAACAAATATGAAAAGAAACATTTCAGGAAAGGGAGGTTATAGAGGAATACAAATATAGAATAAGAACATCGAGAGCTTCATTTAGGAAAGAAATAATAATCTAAAACGGGGGTTTTGTAAAGACAAGAGCAATAAGAAGAATAAAGGAGAAATTATGAAATGAAGACGAAGGGAAGAAAAGAAAACTAAAAGCATACACGACATTGAGCTAGAAATGCGATACAACTTCATTTGTTGCGAGTCTTGGTCCCATATTGCATAACACACGAGAAAAACACATTGTGCAACAGCTATAACTCAAGTACAGTTCATACATCAAATATTTCTCCGTCTTCAAGTCATACTTGTTATTAGAGAAGTGATGTTTGATTATTTCAAATCAAACCGACAATGATTGAACATGTTGCATTGATATTCCATATTGTGGACACGTACCACCATTTGACAACTTTGCAACACATGATATAAAAGAATTCATTGTAATGCGCGAATTTATGTTGATAAACCATGTTGATAAAGATGTGTAATGTGCATATTAACTTGCATTACATCCTCATGACCCAATACAGTAAAATAAAATCGTATATTCCTGATAACAAAGGAAATAACATAACTATATCGTCAATGTAAAGAAAACGTACTTTGATGCCACACCTTTGAGTGGTTATATAGCTGTAGTACATGAAGAAATTATTTGTGTTCAATCTTATGTATAATTATATTTTCATCGAGAAACAGTGCGGTTGATGCGTAATTTTACCACGATTGTCAAACACTTTAGAGTTTCATACCGTGTCGAAAATTATACGGGCAGCTAATTTTTCATGCAATGCATTTCAACACGAGGCCAGCTCATATAACATCCCTCAGAAAATATAGTGTGAGATATATGCGAAGTGACCTTTCTACGTGGCCTCATCTTTTTTTTCACTAGAGAATTGAAAATCTATGTTATAAAATACATATCCACATATTATTATTGGAGTGCAACTAAACTGTTTCTCATGTGCGAAGTTCACGCGACTATAGAATTATTGTATTATTTTTCTTGAAATAACCCAAAAGCGTTTTTAATAACGCTTGGGTGCATCAAAACAAATTTGAAATAATTTTCAATTTAACCACTTATATTTGCATGTTTATATTCCTAGAACCTTGAAATCTATTTCAAAAATACAATTTTCAGCATATTGGCAGTGATAGCTTTGTCATACGGTTTTAAATTATTCTTAACTTTCCAGATAACTTTATATGGTCTGAACTATATATATTTCATTTTGTGTTCTATGACAAAAACGTTTAAACCAATCAATTAATTCATCTATAATTTTCATTAATTATTTACAGGAGGTTACAAGGTATATTACCACATCGTCATATACATTCTTGACCATTAAAATATTATGCAAATATAGAGGATATTTCTGTTTTTGTATTCTAGCAAGTACAGGTTAAAAAACTAATTTCAAGTGGCAACCTATTAACAGCATAGGGCACATATAACCGGTTATCAGGTAATGGTGTGTAACAGATTCAAATAACATGGATAAACAATTTCTGTCCGACTTAGGTTGGGTTCGATTTTCAATGCTGGCCTAGTGCATCATGTACAGTTAAGAATACATATTTTTGACTGGTAATTAAATCCCGCTACAAACGAATTAAAAATATGTCTCGTCTATTGATTTCAATACGAACAACTTTTAAGCTGATTTTATCATCATTCAATGCTGCCACAAAACTGTTCACATCCCAGAAGTAATTTATCTATCCATAAATAATGGCATTTTTATCATTCTGATTATTTGGAACTAATATCCAAAAAGTGTGCTGCATGTTTTATTTCATAAAGAACGGCTTCATATATTTCACTGCAGGTGTGAGGAGATAGTGGGGCATCTTGAATGTGATAGCTCAAGGGATGGTGCTCGCTAAATTAAGGGAGTTTTTCGTCTAAATATATGATGGGATCTCCTTGCGGGGTCAGCTTTCGCCTCTGAATTTCCGCAACTAGCATCCAAGCCCGGATGTGCCCGTGGCCATGGAATGCACCTCATGGGTTGACCCCTTCCCCCTTCCCCCTTCATCTTCAATCATGAACTCTTCAAAAAGATGGGTTAATAATTATTTGCGATACTAATAATCATCAGATTAAAGTTCTGTTAGTGGGGCATATTTACTTCGATATGAATATTGGCGAATCAGTTCTAAACGAAAATGTTAAGGAAAATTCAAATGAAATGGCATTGGAAAAGATAAGATATATTGATGATTCAAGGTTATTATCTATTATGCTGAGTATGAACCATATTGACTGAAACGGTGACACTAATTACAACGTAAAATGTAAGCAGTGGTATGCAGTGAAAAGGGAGGAACTGGATGGATCTATTCAAAAATTCATACACTTAAACAAGATATATATCGAGATATTCTTTCCTTTTCCAATAAATAACTACTTCACGTTTTTTGGTGCCCACTTGCAAAATACATTTTGAAAAACAACGTATTTATGAATTTAACAGTCTAATCAATCTTTTATTTTCAGTGTTTCTTTGTGTTGTGGGACTCGTTGACTCCACAAAAGGGAATTCGAATGAACGGGGACAGCGATTTGAGCTTTTGAATATGAGTGCAACAAACACTTTCCAAGGATTAAACCCGTAAGGTAAAAAATTACTCAGCATAATAATAAAAAGTCGTCGTTGAATATGAGTAATCATCATCTATCAAGCAGTGCTTATCAAATCTCACTTTTAAACAGAGAACAATCCATGAATACAATTTGGTTATGAACTACAAAGCTGTTTGCCCTTTCGCATGACTGATAGATTGACATTGATATAGAGATCCAACAGTTATTGTACCAGTACACAGCAATAACAAAATTAATTCGTTGACATGTCAGCTTTTTTCATATGCACTAGTTGTGAAAATAGTCGTATGAGTATTGTATCGCCATGAACGATTTCTTGCCGAACGCTAATTGAAATTAAATTGCTTATTGATTACCTGGATAACTAAAACCTGTATAAAATCTCTTAACTCCACATTTACTGGACAATATAAAACTCTCACGATTCCATTCGCATGGATTTTGTTTCGATCCACCAGTGAATATGTTTTTTTACAAGTGGATAATTACGCAGGTGCACTGACGCCACTGGATACAAACTCGATATAAAAGTCGTACCCATATTTCAATAAAGGTGAGGTAACGTAAACCAGATAAATTTTTATACTAATACTTTCATCTAGGTATACCGTAAAAACACATAAATCGTCTTGACAGAAAAATAAATGATATGGCAGGAAAAGCAGCTAATTGATGAAATCGGCTAATATAGTCACGTGATTGGTCATACTTTACGCCATTGGTTTAACAAGCAAGGATGCTCGATCACGTGACTGTTTTCAAACCAGCTGCCGTCAGTCACTTGTTGCTCGCTTCTGCGGAATAACGTCATTTAATTTGCACGGAAGATTTCATGTAACAATATATACAAATACTCGAATCTCAATTAAATGCAGAAGCGACAGGTGTGACATACACAATGTGCAGTTCACTAGATGCTTGATTCCCTCTGACTTAGACGCGAGGTACAGTCCGCGAAACCGCTCAGGGCGAAGTCGAGTTTACGCGAGACTTTCAGGAAGATGGAAGATGTCATTTGAGCGACTGGAAACGCGTCTAACGTAGCGACGTTGCTCCACCAATCAGAGTAACCGTTTAACCAGTTGTAGTGAATCGTGGCATTGGTGCAACTCAAGCATAATAAATAAATATTCATAGAAAACACTTCTTTGAAGTCGTTTTGGTACAATATTAAATAAGAAATAATATAAATTACAAATCTTCATATAAAAATACTGTTAATAGTCAGCAATACATGGAACTGTACATCCTTTTCTTTTGCACAGAGTCTGCTGGTTTTCCTCTTGTCCATCGTGGAGTCCTTTGATGGCGTGCTCTCCTAACGGTTTCCACAAGTCAGTCTAGAAGCAATCATCACCTACGACCCTGATCTGAATTTCTTCTCCTCCCGCCTTCACTCGTGCCATCCTGGATGGCTTTATGGAGTTCGTTTAAGACGACGTCGCCTAACATGTGGAAGGCTTCCTCGTTGAGCCTGATGTCGTCGTCGACCGGCATGAACAAGAACTGCGACGACCTGGTGTCCAGTTTGGCCTTGGACGCCTTTTTCGAGTCACCGTTGCCTTTGAAGGCTAATACCCATGAGGGGTTCTGAACTGATACGAATCCGTCATATCTCGAAAACACTGCGAGGGATTGCCGAAATACACAACTTGTCCCCCCATCCTTTAGTCTCCTGTGTAAAGTCTGCAGATTGAAACAAAGGCGAAAAAAGAGACAAAATTAGAAACAATGAAATATAACTACCAATAAATCGTATTATATCACTATAGATTGATAAAAAATAAACACTTTGTACGTAACTTGCCATTACATGTTTTCGCCAACGCAAGTTAGAATAGGATTCATACAAAGTTACTCACAATGTGTAATGAAATTCATGAAATTAATTGAGTTGTTCCAACTGCATAGCAATTCCAAACCACTATAGTTCCTAGAAAGGGAAGTCTCTAAAAAATCTGTATGCTTTCCAAATCATGGCCGGAAAGACAATCTTGTGAGAATTTATCCGGCGGTTTTTGTGGTACACGTTATCAATATGCTCCTCCGGCAATACTACTTTCTAACTATTGAAATATGAATATTTCTAAAAATTATAATATTGAGCATATGTTCTAACCAATTGTTGTAACCTATATGACACTTTGTTTTACTCCTTGGGGCACGTTCTTTCACTACCAGGGGAGAGGGTCTCAGGGGAAAATATTATTCTACGCCCAAAAGTCCAACACTAATCGAACTCCTAACTTTAACCTTTGAATAACACTAAACTTCACCCTAACCATTACCTAAACTACATTTCGACACGAACCTAGATCTATGACGAAATGAAACACCCGGGGAGCAATTGTCTCCAGAGCAAATGTTGGAGCACACTGGGGTGGCGCCGAACTAATAATATCCTACTTGGCAACCACCATAAATAGATAATGTTTCTGGGAGGCTCGGAGAATTACCCTTGCCCCCTACCTGTTGATGAATGTTCAGATGCAACAATCATGTCATAGGGCTTTGTATCGTCCCAATGGAGGATGCATGACTGCAGCGTTACTGTACCTATGTGTCAAAAATAGCCTCAGGGTTCGGTGGGCCTATAGTCTTCCTCATTCCTCTACAACATCCTACAAACATCACCCTTGCACACATCAAGCATATGATGACTACAATGCCCCACCGCGACCCCCTAACCAACCAACTCGGGGCGAAAAACATGGGGGGATCTCTCATTTGACCCGTATTCATAAGACTTCCGGCGAGGCCTGTTTAGTAGTTCTTTGTCTACACCTCCCAATGAAGCATTCAAAATAGGTGTTTTCCAAACCCTGCCATTTTTCTTATTATGTACTTGGGACTGCGTATGCAAATTGGCGGTATAGATTTTGTCGGGGAGGGAGAACCACAGATCCCTCTCTTAGCGTTCATGTCACGAAAGGGACTGCTGAGAGGGTTTTGACCTTGGGTTTGTCCCGCTTCTGACTCCGAGAGGTATTAGATTTTCTCCCCGCAGGGGAAAACGGAGGATGTCGTTTTTTCTGCTCTTCGTTAGCCACCGACTTATAGAACAGTTCTCTCCTATACTAGGGGAATAATCTCATCTTTGCTATAACTGATCTGGAACCCACTTTAAACTTTAAGTACGATGTATGCAAATTATGATAAAATTTGTAGCAATTGATTAAACTTATTACATACATCTGAATCTGCGTGTTCATCAAAACAAAAGTTGCGGTTTTCTTTTAAATTTCCGGCATCCATTGAGGAAATACTACTGATCAAAACCAAACGAAATCATCACGTGTAGTCCTTCGTTGCTGTATTGCTATGTCAAAAGTATGTGCCGAAGGTGATGACACACTTACCTTTATTTAAACCCAACAAATAAACATTTAATATATTTGAACAACACGCTATATATAAACCTATTAATGCAAAAAGCTATTATAATGTAATCAATTATTAGTCTCTCTCGATGCAGGGTACAAGCTGCCATTGAACAAATTGACTCGGCTCATTTCTGTGATCGAACTGCTACACATGACATAGTATTGTTTGTGTACAAGGTCCTGATTTTCCCTCTTGGTTTTCTTTCATTTTTTCCGCCATGAGTACTGCTTTTAATTCGGGTCAACCTGAGACACTCAGGGTGAAGTGTCTACAGGGTTCACCGTGCCAGTGAACGTTAGTTGAAGTTCGCAAAGCTTTTGTAAGTGCTGCGTTTGTTCAATAATCGCTCGAGGACGACCGTAAGCATACAACTGAACAGGTATAATTTTAAAGCAATAAGTATTCAAAATGATATATCCTTCCATTCATTGTATTTTTCTAACCTTTGGCCAATTGTTTGTCATTCTTTTACAGAGAGTTTGGTTTGTTGAAGGTTTTTCTAATCATAAAAAAAAAATCATGAAATTGTGTTGTCAGGGATATTTGATATTTAAAGATGAGTCCCTTCATAGGAATTTACTCTGTAGAAAGCAGTTTTATGTTGGCAATGAGTACCACACTGAACTGTTATTAATAATCATAAAAGCAGGAGCAATATTGATAATAATAATAATAATTATCTTTGTAACAATCATATCTTTATGGGTTAAATAATTTGGTGAATTTGGTGAATAAATTCTACACAAAGTCATATGCACATTTGCAGTCCGATATATATCAAAACAGATAATCTAAATATACAGTTTGACAAAATCATATGCTATTTTGTAATTTTCCGTAGAGTAATATTTGGTTCGAGGGTTTCATTCAAATTAATGTTTGTATTATAAGAGACAAGCAGCTGAAACGGTGAACTTTTCTGTCACATTAATTTACTTAGAGACCCAATGTAGTGAAAATATTTGCGTTTATCTCACTGGACCTTCTTTTGGAAGATGTAAGATTTCATAATAATTATGAACTTGTGAAAATCACAAAAGAGAAAAAATCTCAACCCAGTCACCCCTGTAGCAAATATAAGATAAACATGTACAATCCATATTGGTTTTTACCAGGAATTATACACATGAAAGTGCTCAGTCAAACGAAGTAAATATATGTGTATTCTTCGATATCGTCACAAAGCCTATGGTCACTATTAGAAGAACGAAATTGTATTTCTCTTTCCATAGGACCTTTGTTTTCTCCTTTGTTTTGAAGGCGGAGGAGGGGAGGGGTATAGTAGGGCGAAGGCCATTGCTAACCACAACGACGTCTTTATCATACTATAAAAACAAACAACTTTAAACTTAGCGATTGGTATGGAATAAGATGACAATAAGTATCTCGGATGACGGGCTAAGTTCATGGGCACAATCATCGTCATATATAATAATATTGGTATAAAAGATTAATAAAGTCTTCCCATACATTCAAGCGTTTGCGTTGTCTTTAGGATGCCAGCTAGTGATGATAATCAGCGAACATTGATAAGTTTGTTTCGTAGGAAGGTTGAATGAGACATCGATAGGTATAACTTATTGCCAGCTTGTTTTCCACCTTGTGTGATAGTTCATATGACGTCGAAATGGGCTTTTATTAGTTTTGTGAGGATGGTACCCGACTTTGGGCTCTGAATGGCATTTAAAAACGGTTTATGGACTAGATATGAATGGTTTTAGATTTATTATCATGACATAGCTTAGTGGTGTTGAAAACAGCCATGAACCTTATTATAACTTCGGATTTCCGGTTCTTTGTGCCAATTCTTTCCAACTTTCAGCAAATTAGGCCCCGCGATGCACTCCCTTGTATCACATTCAGCCGAATGAACGATGATTAATGAATGATGCTCATGGCATAGTCAGTATGTCAGTTAGTATCGGGGAAGTGGTGACAGGTTTTTCTTTACATCATATCATATCTATATTCTCCCTTTAATATAAATTGGCAGTGTTTACCGAAGACCTACATCTTGGCATTATGTACCATAGCACTGCCGAACTGTTTTGTGAGCGGGGAACACAAGTACCTTTCTATTTGCTCAGTACACACATTCAAACAGCTACAGTTTACTCTACACAGTGATGGCTATGGGGCAATAGGGAAATTCGCCAGACCGTGCTAAAAGAAAAAGGGCCATGTTTAAAACCCTTTTGTTGTGAAACATGACTCTATCGGCTCAAAATTCACCCTACTCTAAGGTGCCCTGTAGAAGATGAACTTTGTAGCTAGTTCTGATGATGGGTCTACATGTACTGACCTGCCATTCGTGTTTAACCCTTCAGAGGGGGTGCAAAAAGTTTTGAATTCGATCTCCTTTTCGTGAAACGGAGTGGAATAAGTATACCACAAGTAGCAGGAGAACAAGTTATATGCTCATGTTTAAAAGCATGTTCCCTAAGTATGCAAGGCTAACTTGATGAATATACTTGCGACCACATTTCGCAGTGTACTACATTAACATCCCAATCACCCATTATCATACAAACCTAAACTACCATGACTACTACAATAATCTTTGAGAGCCTGTCTTGTTTTACTGATTCAGCATGTGATCAAAGTGTCTTAAATTTCGAACAACTTTTTTTGTTGAATTTATTGTGTCCAACACTAACTGTAAAACACTAAACACTGTCTATGTAGTCCAACAACGGTTAAAAAATAAAATAAAGCGAGGCCTAAACCAAATTTAAGTTGTTTTAAACATTTAAGACACGTTGATCTTCATTATGAACGTCATCTACGTCATGGATTTAGAGGGAACAAATGGAGAAAATAAAAAGATCAACTTACCTTTGATATTAATTCTCCCTTGCCGTTGACGCATAAATAGTTTTTTGATTTATTTCCTTGTATTAATACACTGCTGTCGAAGTCTGTCGTTGTTATTAGTAATTGTGCTGTAGGGGAAATAGAAACGAAACAAAAATAAGTTAATCAAATTAAAATATATTAAAACAACAACAACAAGTTAATCAAGTACCAACATGAAGAAGATTTTTCTAGTAGTCAATGTATTCTTTCTCTATTCCTGCATTTTTAAAGTGGTCCAAAATGAAACTTAAAATGTTCTCAAGTTACAATCTTTTATGGTGTTATAACCGAGGTCACAAATGCATTAAGCATCACACATTTATAATTATATTTTGTGAAATAACACTAGCAGTATTAACAAATTCTTTGAATTACTATTGGCATGGTTTGCAGTAGCATTAACCTTCAAATGACAATTAACAAATTATTAAATTAGTAGTCGCGATCAAAAAAAAAAAAGTTAAAAAAGGGACTGTAGATATAGTTAACAGTCATCTGTTTCTGACATTAACATTAATTCTTCATATCCCTGGCTTCTTGAAATCTTTCCCGAAACATATTTTCTCTCGACCCCCGTCACCCCCCTCTCTCTCTCTCTCTCTCTCTCTTTCCTTTCTTTATTCGTCTTGTAGTTCGCCTCTGTTTGTTCACTTTCTCCCCCCTCGCTTTTCACTTTCCTTCAAAATGTTTCTTCCATTCATCCTCCACTCTCCGAGAGTTAGACTACAAACCACATCAGACACCACCGGCCCCCACCGGCCCCCACATGTCCCCCACTCCCTTAGGTGTCGCCTTCCAATGTTAACAAACCCCTCCTGCAAAATGACCGTGTATATTCATCCTTTCGTGCCTTCTTAAAAACCCCACCACCATACACCCCAACGACCGGTACCAACACTCCACATCAAGTCTCATCATAGGACCGAGTCCCTTGGTGACTCACGACGTACTTTTAGGCGGCTACACCATCAAAACTAGTTTCCTCTTTTTATTCCCCTTTTCACACACTTTCTCTGCCTCTCTCTCCCTCTTCCGTTCTCTTTTCCCCCTTCCTAGCTCTTACTCGCGGAGCTTCATCTAGCTCATGTCATACAATCTCCTAATTAATTTAATCAACACCATTTGGCGGCATCCTAAGTTTAAAGTTCAATAATTCATTCCCTGTACGGCGCGTCAAGACTCTCTAACGCCCGTACATCGCCGGGTTAATGCGCAGACAACTTTACAGAAGGGATTTTACTCTCACTTTTTCCCCTTAACTTCTGCCTTTTCTCCGAAGAAATGGGGATTTAGCTCTTTTCTTGCTCGAACAGGAGACCCGAGTACTTAGAGCCAATATACTCGGGATCTTTAGCCGTTGAACTAATTCTCCACCAATAGCTCGGGGATGGAATTTCACTGGCTTTTGTCGCAATATCGTGACTTAGTTGCAAAGCACCAGGGCTTCATGGAGAATAATTCTCGTTGCCCGCAGGTCATTTACTCAGGCCAGTCACTTTTGCAGTTCAAAGGCGAAAATGAGAACAAATTCCATGCTGACTTTTTTTACCCACTTTTTGGCAAGCTACAAAGCTCTGTTGCTGTACGCTTTCATAAACGCACAGGTTCAAAGAAGTTCGCGATACAGCAATTTTAAAAGGTGTTCATCAACTCAACGAGATTTTGGAACAGATTAATTGGGCCTACTAATAAACAGCTTCTTGAAGCTAAATTCTTTAAGATTTGAGATCAAAATATTTCCCTAATTTCGCAGCTTCTTACATCTTCATTCTCCCGAAGTCAAAACTATTTTGACTAAATGTTCATGTTAATATAAAGAACTGCTATCGTTCTTCATGAACCGATGACCGATAGTGGTAAAAAATACTGGGTACCCATATTCAAATGCTCCCAGGTTAAAATCATTCTTTTTTATTATTCGAAGTCCCATCTGACACCCCTAACGCCATTTTTGATGCCCTTATTTCAGTCATCCTGTGTCACACCAATAATTTGGGAAACACATTCATGTGTGTGATTGATTTCATGCACAATATGGTTGAACAAACATCGTTTAGTGGTGGTATTGATACCGGGGCTCCCTCGACGGGTACCCAACAGGTCCCCAATTCATCCAGGTGGTGTGGGAAGGACGTCGGGAGCGGAAGACAGGGGTGCAGTTTTCGACACCTCTACCACAAAAGACACCGCTCAGCTCCAACGGTGGAACCAAAATTCGCAGTAAGCAACAGTTCATTTTTGTATTATTATTATCGAGGCATCAACGCTGCTAAAATTGGATCGACCCCCCCCCCCACATCGACGTTTAAGGACAAGGAACGTGAAAAGCAAAGGGTCGTTGTTCTGAACGCTAACAAAATTATACCACTGACATTTCTCTAGAAAGAGCGGTTAAGAGAAACTCAGATCTGTCTCAGAAAAAACATGAAGGATGCAAAGGTCTATGCGAAGATATTTTTATATTCATTCCGACAAATGTGAACCCTCCTCCCAAAAGAAAAAACCTTTCCGCAAATTCTAAAATCAAAATCGAGATCGCATCACGAGATTCTACAGTGTAAAGAGTCATCAAATCAATGTCTTGTTACCCTCAACTTGATGTTCTAGATTCTTGCCCTGTCCTTGTCAAAATATTGGGATTCTTTCAATTTACAGATTCTTCAGCCTGAAAAAATCCACCAGTCATAATTTTCACGCTTTGACTTCGGAACGCCTTGCGTGGAGGCTAGAGGCATGTGAATTTAGCGGTTGTTGTTTACATTACGTAATCTGCTGTGACCTGAAACAAGGACACTCATCAAAGTTGATTTACGCTCAGCAGATAGCTACAAGTCAGTCGCGTGGCACTGGGAAAGACATTAACCCCACATTATCACCCCCGGGAGACCGGGCACGTGAGCGGTATACCGTCAGATGTGGCGTGGAAACCTACCCAATAGTCTTTGTTTTAAAGACCCTTAAGGGTTGAACTGCACCGCAGACGTTGTGATTGTACGCAAGGTTATGCGCTGACCACATTATGCATCTAGGAAACCCTACTAGAATAGTGTTGATTGGCTAATCAATCAAAAGGTATTGTAAAAAACATTTTATTTTCACGGTGTGGCTGGATTTTAACTGATCTTATTCTAGAGGTTTCTGGAAATACGCTACGCATCGCGGTACTTAGAGATCGTAATTCATTTAGTACTCGCGTGGACTCTACCGCAATCGTGAGATATTTATAATGCATGTAGCTACAAAATGTGATTTGCCACCCCACTTGTGTGTTGACGTATATGCGATCGAATACTAGACCGTAAACGACCAAATAATGTCGAATCTGAGGAATTAAAAGACCTTGCGATCAAGAGAATCCCTACTATTCATTGACACATATATGTTCACTGCTTCTGTCACGTGACACAAAAACATCCACGTGACACTTAACGTTGATCCACTTGAGGGCGAAAAGATACGATCAAGTAATTTGCTTCGTAATGAGTTGCCGCCACTTGCGGAACATAGTTTCAACAATGTGTCAAATTTTAATCCAAGTCAGTAATCGGCACGTCGATTTTTTTTTCTTTGCCGCTTCCAGGCTTAGGCTCGTTACTTCCACTCGATGTTAAGATAAACCAGTTTTTAAAAATACTTCTTTATCGCAATTCCCGATCACGGCTTCATGGGAAAACTCTCTCACGCTTGTGAACACCTTGCGTGCCGCATGAAATATGGCCGTCTGATGTATGCGATTCGAATGAATAGAAAGACTAAAATAACCCTATACCTGGCTGTATTGTGAACTATGAGGTAAGGAGAGATAATATACTCTGTTCTAAATTTTGCTGCACGTCGTTCACTTGGAGGTGTTTCATGCAACGCAATCAAGAATCAATGTAAACAAGTTATTTGAGAACAATAAATATATCATTTGTATGGATTCGGATGTTTTGAAATCTTCTGAAAGTTCTTTTCTGCAGATAAATTGAATATGCCTGTACGACCCGGGACATATAAAGTTAAATTTTGTTTCTTAACTTTTTTGTTTGCCTTTCTACCGCACTACTATCCTACAAATAATATGAACCATAATATATATATAGCAGTTCATAATTATCTCCATAAAATCTCGTGTTTCTATTCTCGACAATGTGGGCCTAACTATAAGACACTTTGAGAGAACGGGATTTTCATAAAACTGCACAATAAAGGGATATCGTTAATTTGGCAAAATTAAACAATCGATCATATTTCATTATTGTACGAAGTCTATTCCCTAATGTATACAGGCGACTATAAGCTACATCATCGTGCAAGCTACATCATCGTGCGTGCTGCATGGGCCTACACGTTTGGCTACAGGCTGTGTCCGCATCGGGATGGACGTCGTAGGAGAATTCCCTGGAGGAAATTTGAACCGTGCTGCAATTGCTTAATATACATCTTGAGGAATTAACGTATACGTTGCAGAGGGGCATATGTTATCAAATTAGATACAGGTAGTTGTCAAACTATCAAATCACGTCGTCATGGATCAACATCAAGACTTGGTTTGAATATAACATGTAACCGCATATTTGTATTTGTACAGATAAATACAAATATCTGTTTCCTGACTTCAGTCACGAGACCAACACCAGACCGACAAGAGACCGGGCAAAGTATTACAGTAGCCCTAATGACAAATAATATGTCGGTTTAGAGATGTGGAGTCAGTTGGGCAATGTGCCTGAAGTTTTAGATATTTTCTCTTATATGGAGCCTCCATTTATATATAATGTGATGTGTTAAAAACAAATTCGTTCATATAACGATTTCAGCTATATATTTAATATATAATGCACAGTTTTCTTTAAACAATGCAAAACTGAACGCTTTCTATAATCGATTCCATCGAAATATACAAGGAACGAAGTTTGCACGTTCTGCTCATTTAGAAAGATTTGCATCACGAGTTGCTCTTCTGAAACGCTCGACACAAGGTGACAATGAGACAGGAAGAGAAAGATATAAACACTTTAAGCTACTCGAAGATCATTAGTATTCAGACAAGTCCTTTCTCTCTGGCACGTTTGAGAGCTAAACAAATCAAAACCTGGCGCTC